GGATGATGTCTCCATGTTTCTGTGTCTTCCACGGCACACAGAGCTGTGCCAAGCAATGGCAGGCCCTAACGACACTAGTTTTAACTGCACAGAACATGCTTCTCAGATTCCTCAAGAAAAAGAAGGTGCCTCTGTGAGAAGGATGCAGGGATGAAGAGGGATGAGAAAGACCATTAGGTCAAATCCAGCCCATGTCATCACACTTCCAAGGACAGAATCAAAGGACCTCAGAGCCGGAAGGAGAGAAAGAAAACATTTATAGAGAACCTACATTGGGCATCGTGTTCACTGTAAGTATCTAGTCCTTATTACAGCAGACGTGACTAAGGCCCAGGGATGTGCCCAAGGTCACCAGGGTGGCGAGGTCAGAGGCAGGGCCCACCTCCGAAGGTTCTGATGTCTAACCCACAGTCTCCTTTGATCTCACCTTTCAATCCCATCTGACTACCCTGGACCTGGGCTTGGAATGTCTGGGTCTTGTTCCTGTCTGGACCATCTCCAAAATTCAAGGTGGTCAGCAAGCCCACGACGTGAGACCCATGCCACGTCCCTGTGACTTGCTCAGTCACGGGGCACAGGGTCAGCTGGCCGAACGATCTCAAGAAGGAGACCCAGTCCTGCATGCAGAAGGAAGATGGGAGAGAGGTGAAAGATGAGCGCAACAGCGGGCCTGCGTGGGAAGGGCGGACGCGAAGGACACTCACCTGGGGGATGTCGGGACTGCGCAGAGTCCTCCTGGGAGTGAGCAGGAAGCCACCAAGGCCTAGGCCAGAGAGGCCCAGAAGCAGCAGGATCAGAGTGGCACAGACCAGAGGTGGGTGGTGGGCCAGACAGAGATACAGGTTGTGCCCTCCCTGGCAGCTGCCCATGGGGAGCAGAGGGGTCTGGGCCTCCGCGGAGAGCCTGCAGGAGGACAAGAAGAGAGAAGTGGACCACAGCTTGCCGCCAGTCTGAAGGCACTTACCTATCTTATTCAAAGGGAAGCTAAAGCACCGAGAAGACAAGGGACTCGCCCAAGGCCACACTGTTAGTGGCAGAGCCAGGACAGGGGTCCAAGGCTCTGGGCTCCCAGTATGCATCTCCCCGCACCACTCAAATGTTTGCTGCATTTCATTTCTGAAGGAATCAAGGCGGAAGCAGAGCAGAGCATGCTGGGCTAGGAAAAAGGAACCTGAAAAACGAGAATTCTCAAGGGGAGAAAGTCCGGAAACAGCTATCCTGGGCTAGGGTTTGGCTGCAGCACAGTTCCAACCAACAGGCCAGAGGAACCCTCTGACGCAAGAAAAGCCACTTTGGAGTTCAGCTGCTCAAGCTGACTGACTCCTCTGCCACTCACGGGCTATGCGAGAAAAAGCGAATCTGTCAAGCGTTGTGCATTTAAGGATCTGTGAAATGAGAGTTCTAAGAACACCGCGAAATGAGGACTATGTGTGGCCAATCACGCAGTCGGTGCACTTGGCCTTGCGGGAACTCAACAAACGTCCGTTTCCTTTCTAGTTTTCTGTGTTACATTGATCTTCCAAGCCAGATGAGGCAAAGCAAAACTAATTGGGGGAAACTGAGGCTCGGGACTGTAGCACAGGAACGGTAGGGCTGAAACCCATTTCCTACTTCCAGGAGGGGCGCTCTTCCCCAGGCGAGAAGGGGCAGCTTAATGAAAACGGACCGCTGGGACGGGGGGTGGGGAGGAGGAGAGGTCCAGGAAAACGCAGGTGTCACAAGTGCTCCGTCCCTGCCCTGCCTCCCGTCTCAGCACCTCTAGAAATGGGGAAAAGGCAGGAAGCAGGAGGGCAGAGCCTGAGGGTCAGCGGCTGGGGTGCACCTGGGCCTCCCCGCCCCCTCCCTACCCCTAGAACCCCTGCGGAACTCTACACCCGTATTCCTTCCCAGCTCGGCGGCGTCGTGGCCGCCGCCGCCGCTCGCTCTCACCGTTCGGAGCCGGGCGGAGGCCGGCGCCCCCCGCGACGTCACGCGTGGAGCCGCTAAGGGGCGGGGTCCGTGCTCCCCCACCCCCTACCCGCGGCGGCGACGCGCATGCGCAGTCCAATCAGGGTGAGGCCGTACCAAGAGGAAATGATGTGGAGAGGCAACGGGGCAGAAGAGAACTCCGCGGGAGGTAAGCAAAAGGGAGAGGGGCAAGGGAGCTGATCCTAGAGACGTTGTTAGAACTGTGAACGCTCCCTCCGCAGAGTCTGTGGGGACATTTCCACGAAATTCTTGTCGCAAGGTTTTTTCTGCTGCTGGCTTCCTCCCGCGCCAATAGAACAGCCCAGCCGCGCCCAGGTTCCGGGTACGGGCGTGGGGACGGTCCGCCCGGGGGTGGGGCTCCAGCCCCAGGATGCCGGCTTTCGGGGGCAGGCGTGCAGAGATCTTTCCTGTTTGGTGTTTACACCTCACACCTGGCCCCTGGCTTTTATTGGCTCCTTAAAAGATGCACAGCATCTCCAAGCAGCAAGACTGCTTAGTAGGTACCATCGCATTCCACGTCTGCCCACATTTGAAAGATGAGAACACCGGGGTTCATCTTACCTGAAAATAGCAGGACGCACAGAGCCAGGAACCCAGGTTCAAATCATGACTCTGTCCCTCTCCTGTACAAGCCAAACCGTTCTTTTCTGGGGACTTACTCCTCTGTGAAAGAGGCTCATCCAACATGCCTCACTGGTTGGATGGGAAGCTTCCAGTGTGGGAAAAACGAGGGCCCAGTGCTCACTGGGCACACAACCAGCGTTATACAAATACTGTTTGAAACTGAATTTGAGTCCTCAGTTCTACTGAGGCTTCCTTAAGGCAGAGAGCATGTCATTTACGAGGTCTGACAACTAAGTTCGCGAACTCATCCTAGAAAAAGGGCTACACACCTCATTGCTGAATATCACTAGTCACCTTTGAAGCACTCCCCTTGGGAAGCTATGCACTGATGCCAGCACCTAGTACACCCTTCAAAAGCAATTTTGGAACACTTTTTCTGGAATGGCCTCATCATTCCATCAGATGACACCTCATCAGAGCTGTCATCGTGTTACCCTTGATGTCCTGTATATCATCCAAATATCTTCCTTTCAATATTTCCTTTATCTTTGGGTAGAGAAAGAAGTCATTGGGGGCTAGATCAGGTGAGTAGGGAGGATGTTCCAATACAGTTATTTGGTTCCTGGCTAAAAACTCCCTCACAGACAGTGCCGTGTGACCTGGTGCTTTGTCGTGATGCAAGAGCCATGAATTGCTGGCGAAAAGTTCAGGTCGTCTAACTTTTTCACGCAGGCTTTTCAGCACTTCCAAATAGTAAATCTGGTTAACTGTCCAGTTGGTACAAATTCATAATGAATAATCCCTCTGATATCAAAAGAGGTTAGCAACATCATTGCAACAAGTTTGTGAACATAATTGTCCGACCTCGTATGTACCACCACCTCCAAAAGTTTATAGCACAAAATCCTCTCACATATAGTCAAACGATATTTGACAAGGGTGCGATGACCATTCAATGGGGAAAAAAGAGTCCTATTCAACAAATGGTGTTGGGGAAACTGGATATCCACATACAAAAGAATGAAATTAAACCCTTACCTTACAGTAGATACAAAAGTTAATTAAAAGTGCGTGGAAGAACTAAATGTAAGAGCTGAAACTATAAAACTTTTAGAAGAAAATGGGGAAAGCTTTATAACATTGAATTTGGCAATATTTGTTGGATATGACACCAAAAGCACAGGCAACAAAAGAAAAAAAGTAGATAAATTGGACTACATCAAAATTTAAAACTATTGACTTGGAGCTGATGGGTCCTGGAAAAAATGCCCTCCAAAACTAGATTGAAACAACTACTTAACTTGGAGCTGATTGGTCCTGGAAATACACACTGTTCCCAATAAAATTTTTTCTAAAATTTAAAACTGCATCAAAAGACAACAGTGAAAAGGCAACCCATGAAATGGGAGGAAATATTTGCAAATCATATGTCTGCGAAGGAGTCAATATCTAGAATATATAAAGACCAGTCCTACACTCAATAACACAAAATCCCAACCCAATTAAAAAATGCACAAAGGACCTGAATAGACATTTCTCCAAAGAAGATATACAAATGACCAACAAAATATGAAAAGATGCTCAATATCACAAATCATTACGAAAATGCAAAACAAAACTACAACTAGAGACGGTTGGGTGGATCATTTGGTTCAAATGCGTGCTATTAACAACAAGATTGCTGCTTCGACTCCTGCATGGAATGGTGGGCTGCACCCCCCACAACTAGATTGAAAACGGCAACTGGACATGGAGCTGAGCTGCGCCCTCCACAACTAAGACTAAAGGACAACTTGACTTGGAGCTGATGGATCCCGGAAAAAATATTGTTCCCCGAAAAAACACACTGTTCCCCCAATAAAATTTAAAAAAAGAAAAAACCACAACTAGATTCTAGCTCACACCTATTAGGATGGTTATTTAAAAAAAAAATTTGAAACTAGGGTCTCAGAGAGATATTCGTACACCCATATTCATAGCAGCATTATTCACAAGAACTAAAAGGTGGAAGCAACCCACGTGTCCGTAAACAGGAGAATGGATAAACAAAATATACACACAGTGGAATATTATGTAGCCTTGGAAAGACATTCTGACACATGCTACCACATGGATCAAATCTTTTTACAAAATGAAATAAGCTAGTCAAGGGATTAGCAGTAGCTAATAATGTCCCCTCTTGAGGTGAAATTTATATAGAGTAAAATGCAGACCTTTTTTTAAAAAAACTTTATTTGGGAACAGTGTGTTTTTTCAGGACCCATCAGCTTTAAGTCAAGTAGTTGTTTCAATCTAGCTGTGGAGGGTGTAGCTCAGTGGCCCATGTGGCGATCGAACTGGCAACCTTTGTGTTATCAGCACAATGCTCTAATCAACTGAGCTAACCGGTCACCCCCATCAAAAGTTAACTTCTGATGAAAGCTTTCCATGTGTGTTATGTGCTTACATAGTACTATGTGCTTTAGAGGGATTAGTTTATTTAAATCTCAAAAACTCTACAAGAAACATACTATTTATTGTCACTGCTCCACTTTATAGCTGAAGAAAGTGAGAGTAGTTTGCAAAAGTTACACATCTGATTAGTGGTGGAGCAAGTATTTAAACTAAGGCAGTCTGTGCTTTTAAGTTCTATAGTATATTATTGTCTAGGATAATATCTTGGATATATTAATGACTATATATATATATTTTTTTTATTGATATGGAAAGATCTCCACTATGTATATTAAAAAGCTATGAGTAAAAAAATTATATGTATAATTTTTTTGGCCGAGTGGCGCGATGGTTAAGAACTGGCTTGGGATGCCAGAGGGCCCTGGTTCGCATCCCACATATGAGGGCCAGTGACACTGCCCTCCACAGCTAAGATGCTGAACAACAGCTCAACCTGGATCTGGGCTGCTGTGAGTCGCTGGTGACAGCGTAGGCTGCAGCCCCTGTGGCAGTGAGTTGCCATAGGCTACCGTGTGTAGCCAGCAGCCAGCGTGAGCGGCTAGCAGCTGCAGTGAGC